CCAATTATTATCGAACTTTATCAGAATTTTTAGATTTGGAATTTTGTTATGCAGGTCAGTTTCCTTTTTTTAAATGAATTTTCTATAGCCACTGAGGTGTTCTCGTTCTCTTGCAAATTGCAAATCACGTGCAATGTATGTTCTGTAACACTACTTTTTGTAATGCAAATTATTTTTTATGTAGGGGAGTGTAAGGTATGACACGTCTCAACGGGCCTATCACTGTGGTCGGTGTTGTACACCGTGATGACATTTTATATACACTAACCAATGGATATATTTTGTACTATAAGTGATTATTTGTACTATAAGTGATTTCGAAAAAGAAGAATTTGACGTTTGATATGTATGTTCATAGTGCTAGAGAAAAGATTTTTTGAAAAGTAAATCAGGTAAATATATAGAACGTATAATATAGTTCCTACACAATATTTTTAGGTATTCAACACATTTCTCAATTCAACATTATGAAAGTCACACCATCAAATTACTAACAACAGCTTGAAAGGTATGAGGCGGAATTTGTGCAAGGTATAGTGACGGATTATTTTTTTGCACGTGTTTCAATTATCATTGCATTTTTTGTGTACAAAATTGTATATTATCAGCTAATTACATATTCTGTGACATTCGACCTGTTGAGACATGCCGGCACATAAGCAAATTGCAGCCGAATTGAGTGCCGAAAATCTATTTGGCATTGAAGACAATGATCTGGAAGACCAGGGCAGTATCGATGTTTCAACAGATCAGCTGAACTGAGCGGTGAGCTTGACTGCTACGTTAGAAGAAGTCATCACTTCCATACGACTCGAAATAAGACTCGGATATCATCGATGGAGTCTACTGTTTAGACATCACCTGAAAATGTGTCCGCAACACATGCTAAACAGCCAAGGTGAAAAAATTGGACAACAAATAGAAAAAAGCTGATTTGATAAAATAAACGCCAGTAAGAGAGAAGAAAACGACAGCTGGAAGGAGAAAAACGTCATCAATAAGAAAACCATCGGTACAATGGTCAATAAAAAGGGCAAACCTGGATGGAGCAGAAGAAGATTTTAATCGAGATTTTTGTATTCTGAGCCTGAATCAAGTACCTCTTGTGCTCAACCGCCACAATCCACAATACTTGCGGTCGAGAAGTTCATGCCAGTTACGTTAAAACATTCACCAGCTACGTCTTATGCCCAAATTGCAACTCCAACTAAAGTCAAATTTTTTTTTTTAATAATTTTAATCCTGAATTTTTTCTCTTTTTGTCATTTTCCATCATTTCCAGTAGTCTGAATAAAAGATTTTCAAATCTGAACATGTTTTAGTTGAATGCGGTAATCCGCCAACATACCTTACAGTTTTGGAAAACGAAAAAAAATCGATGGTTGGCACCAATTCGTCAATTCGAATTTAGGCAATCATTTTTTAGAGAAATATGTTAAATAAATGTCAGGAGACTTCTATTTTTTTAATTTTGGAAATATTAATTTTTGAGAGAGGGACATGCAAAAATCACCATATATTATCATAATTAATTTGATAGTTAGCTCCTGCGTTATTTATGCATTGAGCTACTTTGGACTAATTTAATAAAGCGTATAATATTTTTTTATCATCATAAATCATCGCAATGTGTCTCAAATATAACGAAATTAAAGTCCTTCTGCAAAAAAAAATAAATGTTGCAGCATTTCTCCAAAGTAAACTCTGAATGTCTTACCCTTGCAAGCAATTTTCTACCTGTGGACAACAGTAAGAAATCCATTTAATAAAATTGATAAGGCCCAATAGGAAAGAGGTGACAAGTAAAAATACAACTATCGAATTTTCCATTTTTAACTTATGCCATTCCAAAAAATATTAGATATTTGATTCTAGTTAGGGGTTCAAGAATTTCCCCGCGATAATCGAATCTTTATACTACAGCACCTAGATTTTATATGGTCAAGGTTTATCATACTCGCAACATGAGATGTTTAATGTTGCTCATCTTTCTGCTGGTAAGTTTAAACTGAAATTCATTCAGTTTGTTCAAAAAGAACTTCCGAGTTTAATATAAAATAAAAGTAATTTCTTTTTACCTTTCCATAACAGAATTTCAGCAGCAGCAAGCATACAAGTCCTACAGAGCTCATTAGAATTCTGCATTCAAGTTTTTATTTCCAAATGCCGTTGCCAACAGAGACGGACAAATATTACACTTACACTCCCAGGTGCTTTAATATATACACCAGCTTTTTGAATTTAATGAAAGATACTAATTATCCTTTCAACACATAAACATAAATACTTTTAGTTATAAAAAATGAATTAGTATACATTAGTAATCGAGAAAGAAGCTGTATGATATACATAGAACAAGTAAGAGAAAAAAACTTAAAGGGAAAGATGTTAAATCACTTAGAAGTCAAATATGCATTCACATAATCCCATCTGAGTGAGTATAGAAAATAAGCCCAGAATAATACTAAACCTTCTACTTTACTTATTATTGGTATTACAACATATTCGTTACATCTGTATAAATAAAAAAAAATTGCGCTAATATATTCGTTTATAGAACCGAAGCTAAATTAAAGCACAAACTAGTAGTTAGAATAGACATATCCCAAGAAGCTAATAAAGTTTGTAACAGTAAAAAAAATCTAATGTAAATGGCAGCAAATCGCTAGGTAACTAAAATTATACCGCATATATACATATGTATGTACATCTTTCGCTGTACTCATGGAAATCAAGGCATTCATTTGCTGAGTAGCAGTAGTAAATGCATGATACATGGACAAAAATGCCTCGACAGCTTTGTCAATAGCAACTATCTATGTGGATAGTGAAGCCAAATTGACGGCAATGGAATGCAAAAACTATTGCCATTTTATGTTAATGCACTTAAGCAACACGCGAGTTTATGCTGCAGCAGCAAATACACATATTATAGACGTCTGTATTGGATAGAAAGTGTAGAGTGGTTAGTGTTGATTCCCCAGTTTTATTACATGCATAATTTGCCAGTCAAAATGTCGTGGGAGTGCTTCGCCATCCATGCTGGCAGCTACGAAGTGTGTAGCAAAGGATAACTTTGCTGGTTGTCATCTTTTAGGTACTTGTTCTCCTTTACTCGCAAAGTGACGACTGTGGCTAGGTACAGTAGAAGAGAAAATAATACTTCAAACCAGTGCAATGCCACGAAAATTAGCAACACCGTGAGAAGTTGGATCCAAAAAGATAGAAAATCTCAGCAGTTTTTTTTCTTTCGTTCAACGTATTTTGCTGCTAAATGATTTCAATTTAACCGTGGCAGTCTGCAATGGTCGTGCTGTACTAGTAATTTTCATATCTCAGTGCTATCAAAGGAAAATCATTTTGCAATAAACTTTCTAGAAAGTTTTTATACCACGTGTGAATGTTCTAAAAATTAAATTTCAAAATTTTTAATTTAGATATGCGACTCAAAATTTATATTTAATATATTACTAGCTTAGCTGAAATAAGATAACAAATAGTTTATTGGACTATTTGACACATAAAATTTATAAAAAAAAAAAAATATTTTGCAAAAATTATCGTATTTCATCCCTCCATTTGTGGGAAAAACATAAAGACGCATACCAAAAAACAGAAGAAGCTCAGCCGAAAACCGTTCAACGGTTACAAATTATGTATATAATTTTGAGAAACAAGCAAAACTAATAATATTGGCGAAAATATTCGAATATAGAAATGAGAAACGAAAAAAATATAATTTAATTCAAAACTTAAAATAAAAATGAAAAGCGAAACAATAAAAAGAAAAGCAACGTAAAAAGAATGTAAAATGATAAAAACTAAAAAATGTTTCGTTAACTCGTACCTTTCTTTGCAACATAAGTTCAACAAACTCACACCCTTAGCATTACTATGTATACAGTCTAGCAGCTCCACCCTAAATTCCATTCCGTTTCCATTTGTATGAAACTGCATCAAGCTTTCAGCCGGAGGGTCGGAGTGACGAACTAATAAATTTCTTCAAGAAAAACGCAGCACACGATAAGAATGAAAAAAACATTGCAAGATGTTGCAACACTAACAATATTGCAAAGCGTTTAGGTTTGGGGTGTATCAAACAAATCAGAACATTTTTGGGAAAGTTATGCTTTGCAAACACAGTAATCACCGTAACATTAACAATTAAATTTCATCAATTTGAAAAGACCGTTTTATTGCTTAGTCCATTTTAACAATAATTATTAATTATTTTAATTTAAAAAAATCTGTGTGGAGTATAGTAGCATGGGAAAAACATTGAAACGATGCTCAGTTTAGTGAGAAGGTACTGTTTATATAATGTGCAAATATAAACTGAAGGCACTGATTGTATAGCAGAATAGAAACTAACTAAAGCTGCAGTACTTGCGAAACATTCAACTTTCAACTTTCGGGTGAAACTTTGTATGGGTGCATGTGCATTCGCCCACCACAGCAGGGAGCAAACTTTAAACGCAGCGTAGTTATATTATATCAAATGCATACAACTTTTTTCTTCGAAATTGTGCTCTTCACAATATTTATTGTATGAGACATAAATAATTACTTTGTAAGTATTCAATCATAATTTAATATTTCGCGACTTGAGCAGTTTTAGGTATTTCAAATAATTTAATAATAAGCATACACACATACATACATATAATGAGCATTAATTTGTGCAGGACTTTTGGCATAAGATTTCAGTCAGTTCTAAGTATTTGTATGTTTTTTATTTATGTATGTGTACCTCTGTTGCGTTGTCCATAATTGTAAATTTGTTATATAGGTAGTCGCAGCCGGTGTTGGGCCGACTTTGGTTATTTTTTACATTTCTTGACTTCAATATGCCTTTGCAAACTTGTAAAAGCAGAAAAAAATTTATTTAATACGTGCTATTTTCGTTATTATAATTCAGTGTAAATGGTAAATTGGATGATTTTTTTTTGAGTTTTTTTTTTTGAGTTTTCTTTTAAATAAATCATTGTTATTTCACTTACCCGTCTTGAACGTAGTCATTAACTTATAAGAATCACCTCCATGATGGCAGGCAAATAGTGAGTGGTCAAGTAGATCTTCAGGTGTGTAACTGAAAAGATTTTGCATTCTGAAAGTGATACCAAAATTTATATTAATGAAACTCGGATTAAAATGCATTCAAAGCTTTTAATTTACTTATCATCTACATATGTAAACTTCATATCCAACGAATGCTTCGTCAAGAATGTTGTACTCCCCAACGGTATTTCTATATTGGATGGATGTGGTATTGGTCGGCCAATAGCGACTAGCACACGATCGCCTTTCACGTTTACCACCAAGTGACCGGTTATGTGTATAACCTAGAAAAGTTCAAGGAAGTCATATATAGATTTATGGGTTGGCAATTTGTTAATCCCTATTATATAATATGAATTTTATAAACCTACTTTATATGAAGCGCTTTTTATATTAATACTACGTCCGCGGCTAGTCAATGTACATTTAAAACGCACGAAAAGATCACGATGGTCAGTAGAAAGTCCTTCCTCCACCATACTCTCATCTTTAATCTTATCGGTCATACCGTTTCTCTTTATGTTAAGCGCTTCTTTAAGTTCAGCATGATCGCATTGGTGGCTATACTCCCAAATTTGTTGGCCGAGTATGTCAATCTAAGATAATTTGGAGAGTTAATTATTATTATAATTTTTTTTTTTTTCAAATCAAAACGAATTCAATAGACTACACCTTTGCTAATCCCAAATAGTCTGTTATATTATCTGATACGTAGGTAATATCGCCATCATTGGAGAGGATAAACAGGAAGCCGTCCAAGGTTTGTTTTATGAATTGGCTGGCGTCTGCACATTTAAGTAAATCAAACTTTCCATTTATATTTTCGGTTTGAGAGACACTGTTGGACTTGTCTCTAACATCGTTGTCTAGTTCTACATCTTCAACAAAATCTTGAATTTTCGGAACTATAAAAGCAGAGCAAATTGTAAATTTATTACACACTTAATATCTTAAATACTGAGTAATATTCTCTAGTTGTGAGGACTTTGTTTCTACTTACACAATTGCAACATTTCGCGCACCTTCAAGAAGGCTATGGCGATACGCATTACAGATGCCTTGTCTAATTGATTTACATCCTCTTTGCGTAGAGGTAAAATCTGTGCCAATTCGCTAAATATCTCCGTTTCGCGAGAACGACGGCACCTAGCCGCATCACGCGATTTTTCTTTACGCTTTTCATTATTTCTGAAAGAAATAAAATAAAATAAAATAAATTCATTAAAGCTTCGAAAGAAATGGTCTTCGAAGGATAAGTAATATTTATTCATACTAGTAACTTAATAATATGTATCGAAAGATGACAGTTTTGACATTTTTTTGTCATGCCATCAGGATTAGCATATTTTGGCACTGCAAAATCGAGAGGATGCTCTAGCTTATTTTTGGTTGAATTTTTCAGCAGAATTACCTAGTCATTTTTGTATGTGAGAAAGTAGCGCGTTCTACTACATCTCTTTGCTATCGATAGTTTCAAGACATCAAGTAATAAGAGCATAAACATTTAAGTACAATAATTACCGCAAAACTGATCAGACTTACGAAAACAAAACGAATTCAAACAATGCCTTTTTCGAAGTTTTTTTATACGTATTAGACAGTGGATGGAGCAGCACTCAAGGCGCGTGCTTTTTTTTACCTAAGAATAACACAATAGGCGGCTAGTTATTTTGGAAATTTTACTAATATGTATATTTATTATTATTTGTATATGTATGTACACACCAATGTGACTAGATAAAATATATACATGTTTGCATACACATACTCGAACATACGTGTACTTATGTTATTACGTAGACGTATATACACATTTTGTTTGCGTGCCAGGCAAATACTAAGTAACTGATTAATGGTGTTTTGCTGTAGACTCTGTTGTTGTCGTTTCTTCTTCTTCAATAGAATAAATTGAGAACGATATAGGGAACTACTTGTGGAATATTTCGCATGCTATACACATGAATATATCAATATATATCAACAAACGTTTTTATACTCTTGTAGTCGTGGTTTATACCCTTATAATGGTTCCTGTAAGTATGAATATACAGGCAAGAATGATTTAACTACGGCAATCACAGTAGCGTTACTCACAGCTATAAAATTTTACAATCAGCTGCTGCTTGTTTTTCTTACGTCTTATTTTCAATTAAAGAATATTATTATTATTATTATTATTATTATTATTATTATTATTATTATTATTATTATTATTATTATTATTATTATTATTATTATTATTATTATTATTATTATTATTATTATTATTATTTGTATTATTATTATTATTATTTGTATTATTATTATTATTATTTGTATTATTTGTATTATTATTATTATTTTTTTAATTGTTATTTTTTTATCTTTATTTTCTAATTGTTATATTTTAATTGTTATTATAAGAATTATAATTCTAAATTTTTATTATTAGAATTATTATTTTTTAATTGCCATCGAAAAGGTAATTTCCTTAACACCATGCTTTAGCATTTTTGTTGTATTCATTTAAACTTATACCTGTATTTGTACTAGTATGTGTAATCTCAGTGGGTAGATGCTTACAACCTGCTTTGCACCAAGGAAACAAGTTTAATAAATTTACTCCCGAGACAAAATTAACAAAAAAAATTTGTTGTTTGTTTTGTTTACAATGAAGCGCGTGTAAGCATGAAAGTATATACATAAATGCCAATCATGTGAGTAGGGTAACTACCTACAAATCTAACGTCTGAGGTGAATAAACAATTAGAAGTTGAAAAAGCTTGATTTTGAAAAAAAAAAAAATTTAGGTAGACCGTACCATGTTAAAATATTCTACAAGATGGTTTCACTTCAAAATTTTTATAAAATACTCAACTTGGAGATTTTTAAATTATTTTTGAGTTCGGTTCGTTATCGATTTCGGAGAAAGAAATTTCTTCTTGGCTTGCTTAGCTTAGATTGCATCTTTAAGCATTATTAACCTCCTGACTTCGTAAAATACACCAAAAATTATCCACTTAATTTTTATTTAAACTTGTAGATTTTTTTAAGAGAAGAGAATAGCACGATAAAGCCGAAACACGTTTAATGTCAGATAGCTATGAAGCCGACTGAGAAAAGAGAATGAAACTACCATTAAATTATTGTATCATGGACCGTACAGCGAGGTTAAAAGTTTCCTTGGTAAAATTTTTATAAAAAAGACGAACTAATTGTTTTACAATGATTTTGTCTTTTTACATTTTTTTTATTTAAACGCCGCAACATTCCCTCTAAACTACTAGTAGGGAGTCATATCGCAGTTGCGATTCATCGTTATTTCGGCTAATCGTGCGATTTCGGACACAAATATTCTTAAAACGTATGAAATAGCCTTTATATGGTTGCAACTGGGTTTTCTGAGGCTCAAATGCGGCAATTATACTAGTCATCGAGGTTATAATTGGTTTAACGGAAGAGATAAATCTTCTGGAAAAAATGCTCATCACCTGCCAGACAATCTTGAGGCTATTGAGCTAAGCGAAATCGCATCGAATGGGAATGAAGCTTCAGTTCTTGCGGACGAAATATTTAATTCCTGCGAACGGTCTTGAGACCATGTTGATTGCTGTTCGAGCATACTTGGAGCTCCAGCACCAATAAATTTCCCTGAACGCACTGGACAAGTTGTTTTGTCTGGTAAAGAGCTAGTTTGGCGAAGACGTTGCACAAATCGACTTGCAAATGTCCTTCATGGGTAATTATCTTACAGTTACGGTTGAAGATTCGAGAATTTGTGAGTGAGTTGTACTGAATGTGAAGAAAAATTTGTGGTAACGAAAAATTTTCGGCTAACATGCATTTCAGGCAAAATAAGGCGTCAACCCCACTTCTTCATCTTATAACGAATATTTATAAACATAATTTTAAGCCTTATTACATTCACAATTATTATTAACATTCACAATTATATTAAAATTATTTAAAAATCAATTTGTATACTTTTGATGTACATGAAATGGTCAGAATTGTCAGAATCACCACATGTGTAAACAACCGAATTTTCAGATTCAAGATTTTGGGGAATAATCCGTCAAATAAGCAAATATAAGAGCGTCTAAACTTGCTATTTATACAACTATTATGAATTACATATTTTTACTGAAAATTATCGAAATCGGATTCCAAAATCCGTCAAAAGTGTATCAAAGGGCCTGGAATTTGATATTCTCCCCACAATAGTGACACATTTTGCAATATATTCGTTGTTTTCATAAAAGGTATAAAGATTTCGGCAGTGTCAAGGTCAGTACATCTTTCTTTTTTAAATTGCAGACGCCCCACGACAATTTTCAATTACAATTTTCAGAATCATTACTTACAAAAAGTCTTCAATGTCTACGCATCTTATAAAGTGGCAGGGCTCATAGTTGTTCTGCTCATCACCGTAACAATAAGAATATGACCACGGGGCATTGCCGCGACACGGCGCGTGACCCAGCATTCTTTGAACATTTACACCTGGTGCTCCAGTCGGCGCTTGTTGGCAGCAATTCCCTGGACGCTCCTGCTTTGCTGGTAAATATACGGCATTTTTGTAGTTATCCATGGAGCTCGATAAACTTACGTAGGTTTGTTGTTGCTGATAAGTTTGTGATACTTGATACAAATGATTTGGTTGATAAATGCCGTGATTAAGTTGATGAGGCTGCTGGAAGCTCATATGATGTTGTTGTTGTTGTTGTTGTTGTTGTTGTTGTTGTTGTTGTGAATATTGTTGTTTCATTGGATATTCTGGTTGAATTGGGTATTGGTGCTGCATTGGGATATGTTGTTGTATTGGAAATATTTGTTGCATTCGATATTGTTGTTGCATTGGATATTGCTGTTGCTGGTGTCCTGGAATCTGTTGTGAATTAGATTGCCCCATCGGAAATGTTATCCCCGGCACAGCCTCGAGTGCCGGATAATTACGGGGCGGATACACAGTTACACCTCCCGATTGCTCGACGGCTTGGTAACGATGTTGTTGTTGGGCCACTGAAGCCATTGGGGGCTGATTATACGCCGGAACAGGTTGCGTTTGGTGCTTCTCCTTGTCTAAAATATCTAAAACACAATCTCCTTTGTAGAAGTCATTGTCGTCGCCACCACAGATACTGTGAAGACTAAACTCTGAAAGACTGACTTGTTGTTTTGCCGATGCTAAATTTAGATAAATCTCATTTGAATCATTTCCCAACAATTGTTCATCGCGTAAATCTTCTTTTGCTTCTTGAACATAATTAATATTTTGATGCTCACACTCATACTGCTGACACTCGACACATAGATCGCTCAAGACTTTGTCAAGGCTATCATCAAACAGGGTGTCAGCACCTTCGATGAAATCCAAAGTGAGCGACGAATTTGGTTTTCCAAACATTTTCAATATTCAAATAATTTAATATATATGTATATATATATATATATATATTGATATCATGGTTGAATTCAGTTTTATGTAGGTATTTACTAAGTCATATGCATATACATATATATTATATATATATGTACTGTGTATATTATATTTACATTACACTTTTTATTATAGTTTGGTCTTTGAATATTTTGTTTCGTGCTATGTTGTCTCTATCAACACCGAAAACACGGAACTTTAGACTTTTAGAAAAGTCGCATACAAGACTTTCTCTCATACACTTTCTAGAATTTCACAACTGATAGACTCCAAAGCCGCAAAAGAAAATTATTTTTCACAGGTCAACGCGAAACGCGTCAGAGTTATAGTAGAATCAAACAACGTCTGTTACCCACGACAATGTCGATTTGAAATGAGCAAAAGTCCTCATTATTTCAAAATTAATAAAGGGAAATATATCGCTCACCATAACCGAAAATGGGAGAAGTAAATGAAATTTGAAATAAAAAATTTGCTTTACTCCGCCTATTGGGAAGAGTATAATAAAGTAACGTGGTTGTAGTTAGATGATAGCGGTGGCTAATAGTACTTATGAAAAAAAAGACTAACCCATCCACAAAGACATCATTTTCTAGAGCAAAAACAATAATAAACTGAAAGTTTCGTGTTTCATCGTTAATTACTTACCATACTCTGAGTTTGCAGCTTTCGGCTGTGCAAATTATAAATAATAACTAAATAAACACCTAGTTCCAGGCCTTATCAGTCTACAGCACGACACTGATAAGATATCAGTCGGTTTAAACGCTAGAGCGCATAAGAGAGAAGACTGTCTGGCGAAGCGAACCAGCGATTATAATTAATTACGCTTGTGAGAGAAGTGTACAATGCTTTTAGTCTACAGATACGTTTTCTGTGAGTAGTATTTATACAATTGCGGTCAAAATAATAGCAGTGCTCGACACTAATACCAGGAAATATATTAAAGCTTCTCCGACATAATTTATGAATAAAATTAATTAATTATTAAAAGTAATTAATAAAATATTTAGTTTAAGCTTTATTAGTATATTTGTAATATATTTACTGATTACGCATGGCATTTCCTTTAATCCAGTTATAAAGTAAAATACGTGCGCACGAGGTCGCCCCTCGGCAGGCAATTTCAACCTCTCCGAGTGCATTCCTTCAAAAAAAAACCCATCAGCCGAACGGAGGCGGCTTAGTATAAATTGTAGGTCCCTACATTTGGTGGAAAAACATCAAGACGCAAAGCCACAAATTGGAGGAGGAGCTCGGCTGCAAATCGTTTCAGCGTTTACAAAGCGCCAATTATATATATAAGCAAGCCTTTTGACAGTTCTACATTTCTCCGTTTCGTTTGAAATTTAATGAGAGTTCAATTTCATTTTGGTTTCCAATAATCTTGCAGAGAATATTTGTGGGACACAAGGACACCAATGCTCAATGGAATAGAAGTTTGGATATTGGCAGGTTTTTTCTAGCATAAAAAATTTACCGTATTGAGTATTTCGATATAGTTGAGACTATTATTTATGGTATTTTGGTATAACGACTCACTATGCTTTACGGTAATTACTGGGCTATCGTATTCGTATTATCTTGTAATAAAATGACAAAGTATTTGTGTATTATTTGTGTATTGTGAGTACCGGTGACACCTTTTTCTCTAACTACACTTTTCATGGACTTCCACCGGACTATTGACTTTTTATTAACCTTACTAATCCCTTCTTTTATTTTATTTCCTAGATTTTTATCAATTTTACTTGCTCCAAAAATTTTTACTGAAAAGGCTTCTATTAAAGTGTACGAACTTATCAAGCTAAAGCTTATAGAATAGCTGCCATCATTTTGGCTCAGCATTAGTAAAGCTAGATCATTAGAAACATGCTGAAAAAAATTATTGTGATTTCTGTGAAGGAAAGTTGCAACGCAGTTGTTCTATTCTGTTGACGAATTTGGACATTTCTATTACTTCTCACGGCTATTATTTTGACCGCAGCTGATTACATATAATATATATGTACATATGTATATATATACATGCATTTATACGGAATCATATATAATACAACAATGTATAAGTTTCGTCTATAAGTAGTAGGTTTTTTTGATCAAAAACTTATTGAAATCGGGCCAAATTCAAAATATACAAATAATAAAGATTTATAAATTTTATTATTTTAAATGTTCATGGTCTGTTTGTATGTGAAATGAACCCGAAACTGATATGTGGTGGCGGGTGTAACGTATAGGGCTGAAATTGCGGCGATCATCTAACTGATATGTATGTATGCATATGTGGTTTTGGTGCCTAAATTATATGGAACAGCGAAATTTGTATGGCTTTTCATACACGTTATTAGCATTATTACTCATTACATTGTTTTGAATCAGTATGCGCCTGTGCAATTAATATGCGGATTTTATGGAAGTATGCCTGTGTTGAATCGAATTATAAAACTGTTTGCACACACAAAATGTTTGATGAAATAAAAAATATGTTATATTTTAAAAGTACTGTATCTATAATGTATGTATCAAATATATAAATATGCATGTAGTGATGGTGTTATAATGGTAATATTAAACAACGTTATGATAATGTTATAATGATATATTGAACAACCTTATGACAACTTTTTGTTTTATAATTGTGTCGCCTGGCATGTCTGCAAAACGTAATACAGTATTTTGGAGAACTTCAATTTATACAGTGACCGCAAGCTATGTAACGGTCCCGTATGTATGTACATAGGTATTTAGAATATAACAAACAGAAAATGATAAATAAGAGAAATAAGATCAGCATATTGAAATGTCTCAGAGCAACCTAACAGCCTATATATGTTGGTTTCGAGCCGATTTGTGAAATAATAATCAAATAGATATACTCCTCCGGGTGATGTTCCCTTTTTGTTCGGTGGCTATCAATAGGTTCACAAACTTTTAGGGTCGCCAGAATTATGGTAAGGCAAAACCTGTTTCTCTTTACATGATATATACATTATATACGGCGATTCCATATCAAACGCAATAAAAAATGTCGATTTTGTGAAGGATCCTTACTAAAACTAACAGAAATTGGCCTGAAACATTTTTTAAATTTGTTTTCTAAAAGTTATGAACCTGACAAATATTAACAAAAATTAAGAAAATGTTTAAAGTGTGTCATAAATAGACTAATAATTAGTCAATTTTAGAAATTAATATCACAGAAATGCAACAGCGCTGAATTACATATTTCTTACGTCGGATTTGAAAATTTTCATACATAACATTTTTTAAGGCTTTGTTTTCTTTATTTGAAATATACGTTTCATATTCCAAACAATTTTTTAACAAAACCTATTCAACAAAATATAAATAGCTCAAAATGTTACGGATATTTGAAGAAAAGTGGACAACTACGACAGACGGAATCTCTGCCGAATTCTAAGTGTAAATCATTCTTGAGCCCACTTGGGCAAAGCACGCGTACGCAATATATGTATGTACGTAAGGTTGCCACATCCTCTTTTCTAAATTCGAGAAAACATAAACCATCGTTGAGTAAATTTGGTTGAATTGGGTGAAGCCCTTCTAAAGTTAATAGGTAATAACAAAAACATGAACTAGAGGACTCTGCAAACGCTATGAATATTGATTTCGAATTCGTACAATTAGGAAAAAATATATTTCAATATTTATGATTCTAATACTTTATGACACACACCTTTATTCTATTTTTTTATGGCGTATATAAATAGTTTTTTTGTCATTCCGGCATGGGAACAGGTGAAATACAACTGGACATGGGAAAAATATGGATTTTCAAGATTATTGTCACAAACACTTAACGAATGCCCTTGAAATTTTTTTATCGACAATACATCGATCTTCACAGCCGCTCGGAACCGAACTGAAACCGCTTAAAGCCGAATCGCAGTCGTTTGGAATCAAAGAAATACATGTAATCAAAAGGTCTTTGGATTTGTACTTCCCTTTGAAAATTGAGGATTCGATGACGTTGTTCATTCATTTCTTCACCGTTAGTCGGGTACCATTACAAAAACGTGTCAAAATAAGTATCGTCGAATCAATTTTTTCTTCCGCAATATGAGATGGTAATCCAGGCGATTCCAGCGAATTTACGAACCTCCGTCAAATAGTTGACCCTATAATTTTCTTAAGTGCTTACTATGTTAGTTTTTGAAAAGAATTTTCGGTCTGGATTATAAAGTGCCAATTATATATTCTAAAAATATTTGGTATTTTAATGGAGGATAAAGTCTAAAAGCAACGAGGTTAATCCAAAACTTCTTATTATATTTTTTTTTACCTCTCTACATACACATTTTTTATTCTAAGATGATGCAGAGATCTCCGAACAATATATACTTTTTTCCAAACCATACCAACTTTCGTCCATCTGTGCTCACTTCTCAGAATTAAAGTATTGTAAATGTTGCGGCCGAGGCAGCCGAGTGGTTAGCTTTGCGTACTGCCATTCGGAAGGCTCGGGTTCAAATCCCCGTGCGACCAACATCCAAATGGTATAGAAAATTAATTTAAGCAAAAAATTAAGCTACATTTTCTAATTGCAGTCGCCCCTCGACAGGGAATGTCAACCCCTCCGAGTGTATTTCTGACATGACATAAAGCTCCTCTTAAAAGACCATTAGCCGTTCGGAGGCGGCTTAGTGTAAACTGTAGGTTCCTCCATTTGTTAGAAAACATCAAGGCGCAAAACTACATATTGGAGGACCTCGGCCGAAAATCGCTTCAGCGCTTACAAAGCGCCATTTATGTATATTTATACAATATATATTTATATATATATATGTTTAAGCAAATCGAACTCGCTTCCTGGTCCATTCCCGCCATTTGTTTGTCCTAAACTGCTACAAAAAATCTACGATTGATAAATTATTTTATTTCACTTCTAGTGAAAGAACAAATACAAGTAAACACAATAATTTACAAAAATGTGTATTATCAAATTAAAATAGTTAATAATAGTAAATAAAAACTTTGTTAAGTACGACTTTTTCCAATAAATTTATTATACTTATTGTATGTACGATTATATGTATTGAGTTACACTTACAAAGGCACTCAAAAGCGCTGATGCAGCTCCTCTTAGAGCAACGAAGTTGTGTACGTAATAAAAGCTGAAAACAAATGTTATTAACAGGCTGGTGTCAAAAGATTGCATTTTTAAACGTTAAGTTCTTCCAATTCCAAGCCTGTTGAGCAGCTATTTACACGTACATTTGTAAGCTTTTAAAACTCGAAAGAGAAGTCACGTAGGCTTCTTTGAACTCACCACGGCTTAATGAACAGCCTCAGCTGAAATTGGAACGTGAAACACCAACAACAGTTTGTATGCAT